GATCTCTTGCTCAAATATACAAGCCTTCTCACTCTAGAATATATATAACATTTTAAATTTGAAAGAACTACACATTTTCTTGGAATAAACCAAAGAATAATTAAGGCAAATTAAAAAAAAAGAAAAGAAAAATGGAAGAATTATTCTGAGGCCAAGAGCCAACAAATGTGGTACCTCTTGCTTTTTTCTAAGTGAGTTTGGCTCTTTTGAAAGCTGTATTTATCAAGCTATTTGAAATGGAAAACTCCGCCTGAGAAATTCGGGTACTTAGGAAGAATTTTTCTCATTAAGCTCCTAAGCAGGTTTGGGGTCCTGGGGGCTGGCTGGGTTGAGCGGCCAGTGGTGGGCTCCTGACACCAGCTTCCCTCCCGAGCGGCCTCCTGGCCAGCCGTCCGCCAGCCTCACGGCTGGCCGGTTACCTGATGAGGACACACTGGTCATCGTGGCGTTTCCACAAGCATCGGTAGCACTCGTTGGCGATGGCGAAGACGTGGGGGGGGAGCTCGCCCAGGTGGCATTCGCTGTAGCGTTCCATGGTGGCCCGCTCATACAGCCCGGCGATGGTCCTGTAGGGGTTCACTGAGGCAATGATGGAGCCGATGTAGGTCTGCAAGCACACGGGGCGGGGAGACAGAAGGACGCCAGGTTATACACAGCACTGGTGGGGGGGGGTGCAGGACGAGGGCGCGTCACCTCCGCTCACGCTGTTCCATGCTCCGAAGGCTGGGGGCCGGCCACACGGCCCCACGGCCCCACCCGTCTCGGACTTGAACAGAATCCACCTGAGTGTGCTTGAAGAGGACCGATGGGGCTCCCCTCTGCATACGTTTTTCCTACACCTTTTTGGAACAAAATCTTGTCATTCTGTACAAACAAACGGAACCACTTCAAAGAGGACTTGCAGTGACAGGTAAACCACAGAAAGATGGGGAGGCAGCCCAAGCCCAAATCCCTGTTCCCGGTGACCTCCTCATCCCATCCCAGGTACAGAGGACTGTCCACTCCCCATCTCCTTCCTCATCAGGTAGCTCTCAGGAATCAGGGATTAAAGAAAGAACTAGAGCGACACCAAGGGGCTGGGGAAGAGGAACGGAGAGTCACTGTTTACTGGGTACGGAGCTTCTGTTCAGGATAGGAAGAAGATTCTAGAGACAGACCGTGGTTATAGTTACACAACACTGCAAATGTACTTAATGCACTGGACAGTACACTTAAAAATAGTCAAAATGGTAAATTTTATGTCATGTATCTTTAACCTTAACTTTTTTTTTTTTTTTAAGATTTTATTTATTTATTTGAGAGTGAGAATGAGAGAGAGAGAGAGAGCATGAGAGGGGGAGGGTCAGAGGGAGAAGCAGA